TTAATTGCTCAATTTAAAGACAATCACAAAGTACATTTATATCGACGAAAAGTTCAAACGCGAAATATATTTGTTTCCAAAGAAATAATTATTTGATTGTCAACATTATAAAATGCTAATTTATAACTTCTATTTTCTACTATTTGGATTTCTAAAATAAATCAACCGCGCGAAATATCTGCGTTTCGTAAATAGCCGGATCATTAATCGTGCAAATTAATCGCGTGTAGTATGATTGCTAATTATTCGTAAGAAGCGATGGTGTTTTCTCTTGATACTTGTTGATACTCGTATTTCGAGGAATAATACTATTGATAATGTATCCCATTTATTTGAGCGTCGTATCGACAATGTCGACGTACGAAAAATAAGTATTAAAGCCGCGTGCCAGCCGATCTGTTATCTACATTTAACATTTATTGTAAAATACAAACGCTGAATATTCCGTTCCTTGCATATTAAATTATTGTAATTTTGACGAATAGCAGGATATCATTGCATATCGAACGTCTGTTTGATAAATGAGCTTTATTCTATTCTCATCGAAAAATATTTATAAATATAAATAAATTTATTGCTATTATTTTTCGTTGAATTTTTATATTTCGAGTGAAATAAAATTGTGTGGTTTTAATAAATCAAAAATTTTTCTTCTGGTTTTAATAAAACCAGAAATTAAAATCACGAAATATGCAGCAACTCATTCTTCTTGCTTTATTAAAATCACACACAATTTTATTCCTCTCCACGAATTAACTGTTTATATTAAAAAGAAGTTAAATAATTTTCATGTAAAGTTAAAATCTGCTACTAATAAAAAATGTATTATTATTGATTAATAAATAAAATAATAGGTTATATATATCATATCGTAGAAAATTAGCAGAGCTATAAAAATCAATATTATTTAAGCGATGAAAATCAATATATTAAAAAATCATAATTGATTAATAAAATGACAGATCAATATGCACAAAGAAAGCATAGTTATGACCTAATAGATTTAATAAACGGACTCATATAACGCAAGCTACATAAATTCTGGATTCATTGATAACATAAAAATTTATATTTTTAAGTAAATTCGCTGTTGTGAATCCGCTACATTTATGAATTAATAATGACTACCGAAATGACTAGCGAAATACATAATTAAATCATGTAGTTAAATTGCATGTGAATAATCTAATAGATTATATGTATACATTATATATAATCCTCTTGTCCTAGATTTCAAAGTATGTTATCTGCTCATTTATACTTTCGGTTATAGTTATGATATATCTTTCTCTCTTTCTCTCTCTCTCTCTCTCTCTCTCTCTCTCTCTCTCTCTCTCTCTCTCTCTCTCTCTCACACACACACACACACACAACTATATAAATATATTAATGTACTGTATCTATACCTCATAACTAGCACGAAAAGTTCACTGTTCTCGTTACCGAAAGATATTTTATAAGTCCGTTATCTGTGCGTGTCGGAACGTCGTAACGTTTGTCACGATATTTCATTGCGGAATATTATCCATCTGCATGTTCAAATATATAAAACAAGCGACATATTGTGCACGAAATTGAACCTGCTGCAAAGTCAAATGTCGCAGAAGCGCGTCAATTTTTTATCATATGTAATATGAAAATTGCATAAAATACATCGAGAAAAAAAATAAAAGGAGTATATTTTCTCACTATTTATTAATTGCAAATTGGTGAGATATTCAAAATCATACATCTTTACTTATCGTTTCTTCGCCATACATATTTAATAAATTCCATGTATCGCACATTGTATTTATGGAAGTATAGATTACTGCGCGTGTACATAATACACACACATACACACTAGTTGCGGTAATATGGGAATTATGGTGTGATATTATAGGGGTTAACCTAATCCGCGTTGAAGGTTACGAAGAAATTTACAAGCTTTCATACACACGCGCACATACGAGTACTCGATATACGAACGGAGTCTCTATGGTGGCCACAATGCTCCCCTATGGTAACCCGATAATGTATTATGGATACGTGAAATTCGAAGAGAATCTTACTTATCGCAGGAAAATAGAAAATGTTTAAGCAAGTATCCACGTATACGAAATCGTTTCATGCCGCGTCTAGGTTTTCCTTCTCACATTTTGTTTACGACATGGACTCAGATCTCAATCCTTTTCAATAAAGAAGCCTTCAATAAGGAATCACTTACGTTATTTTAAAGAAAATGTGATAATATTATTTTATATCAATGTAACATATATGTCCGTATTTTACGTTTTTTTTTCATTTCGGAAAACTGTTTTAAAAAGAATTATTTTTTACGAATTCGCAATAAAATTTCTAGGTATCATTTTTAATACCTAGATGACTTTTTCGATATGTTGAAAATTTATCTGCGACATAGGTATTCGGTGTGCTGTAAAATTTAAAGCACCGAAAGATATTCTTTGGTACTTGCAACCTACGGGATGCGAACGCGTGTAAGGTTTATATCAGGGTTATCCTCTCGAATGCGCGGTTTAATGTTGCACGTAATATGCGGACGTCGTTTACCGTTGGAAGCACGTGTTTACGTATGGTTTATTCGATATGCAGTAAAACGTATCGGGGACCTCATAATCGCAAGCAACAAAGGAGTTGCGGAGAATCGCTGCAACCTCGCTGCAACCTGTCGGTATAAGAATTTTTACGATTTCCATTCACGGCAGACTACAGTAACCCAATTACAAAATCACTAAGCTTGTTAAGCGTTAAAACCCCGTAAGTTTGTTTAGCCTGGGGCCGTTTGGAGGATGGACGGACAAAAGTAAACAATGGGACAGGAGGAAGCAACGACGGAAATGGAAGGGGAGGGGAAGAGGATGCAAGATTGACGGAGGGAGTGACAGAATAATTCGGTTAGCGATGAGTCGCGTTGTTACGCAGCTCCGTATATTGTGTCCATTAACGGTATGCACGGTCAAACCTAATTATAATGGACCCCTCTAACCGCTGCGTCGCGTGATTGGTAACGGTACCTTTTTTGCTTTTAACAATACTGCTGAATAGAATCTCCTTTATAGGCGTCCATCCCGCGTCAGAAGATTATTTGTACACACGAGGGTGTATGGCATATATATGTATATAGATCGTGATGAGCGTACGATGCATTATGTCCGATACGGCGCAAACCATAATTGAATGTCGAATTACGCGCTACCGATAGATACCACTAATAACATTTGCATTTCGCTGTAACTTCATCCATCACGCAGAGAAGAGCCTTCCAGTAAAGCCATACTGTATTCAAATCCGAGGCACAACAAAAAGGAGCCGATGATTGCAACGTCGAAGATAAACAGAAACGATATTTATCAATCCGTCGGAATGCTTCAACGAAAAGGAGACTACATAACTGTACTGCTTAATTTAAAATAATTAAAAAGATACAACTCTGTGCGCTTCATATCGAACACGCAATCAAATCAAGGGTTAATCGAATTGCAATTTCCATCCGATCTCTCTCTCTCTCTCTCTCTCTCTCTCTCTCTCTCTCCCTCTCTCTCTTCAGCGTCCACGAACTTGTCGATAATCGATTCCGTCGTTGGGACACTGATACACGTCCACCCATAAACCATTTTGTCTCGGCGCGGAGGAAGCGCAGGGTTATCGAGAAACACGATTTCTCATCCCTCGCTTCTCAACGAGATGCTAACGAACCCCTCTGCCTCTTTTTTCTCCAACGCGACGTAACTCTTGGCGACAGGTCGATCGATCGGCCAGCGGCGTATCAAAGACGCCGATTCAGGAAAGAAAACCGACTTGGCGATATCGATGTCCCGATAGCATGGCTCGCTGATGCAAGACCCCGCACAAGCCGCGCGAAGAGTCAGAGGTCAAAGGCGGGAGACATCGATCAAAGTTTTCGCGCGATTTATCCTGAAGGCATCGCCATAACGAGGCGGGTCGTCGCGCCATCAGCTTTTTCCATAACGTACCAGTTTGCGATCTCTTTCTCTCTCTCTCTCTCTCTCTCTCTCTCTCTCTCTCTCTCTCTCTCTCTCTCCTCATTTTTCTGTCTCGTCGCCGAAAACCGGTTTCCTTTCTCATTCATCGTCACGCAACGTCTGGCATCACGGGGAATCCACATTCCTGATATCTCCAAAACGATGACAACTAGGAGCACGCTCTTGGGATCGATTAGCCTCCTCCAATAGTCGGAAGCTTCGCGTTTACGCGCTATTATTGTCCCGGAAAAAAAAACATTAAGGTGTCACGCAAACATCAGTCCTCTCGGGACCGTTTTAAGTAAGGTAGGAGCGATGAAATCACAGAGCCAAATCGCGAGTATCCAAAAGAAAGACGTCCGCACCGGATATTTCCCCTCGAACGATCTCCGTGCAGCGCCGAAGGATGCGGAAGTCTCGCGTTTCTTTACTATTTGTGCAAGTGTGCGTGACGCCAGGATTGTTTTCCCAACTCCTCCTTGCGGAGATCCTCGGGGGTCTCCTAATGCGTTGCACGTTCTTGCGTCCTCGGCCGTCTCGCCGATCTCTTTCTGATGTTGCGACAGCTTGCACTAAGATATCAGCAGTATTTTGTTCTCTTTGTGACAAACGCAAACCATCAGATCTCGTGCCACGATAGAGCGAATTTCGAAATTAAACAGCGATATATTTTATGACTACTCTATTTTAACGTTATTCGTTATGCGTTTTATAAAAATTTTATTTCAAATAAAATAATAAATGGAATAAATATATCTCCTAATTTACAATTTTAATTGTAAATCAGGAAATATATTTATTCCATTTATTATTTTATTTCAAATAAAATTTTTATAAAACTGATCCTTTAGCAAATTTGAAATCGTTAATTAAATTAATTAATACACTTATTGTCAATATCATTCCTAATTAACATTTTAAAGTAGTTTTCTAGAAAGAATTTATTATTATCGCTAAAAAACTTTAACTATAGGAGTATTAAAAAGAGTATTATAATCAATTCGACCTTTGTTTCAGGGAAGGGACGGCTTTATCCGGCCTACAGTCTAAGTGGCAGCGAGGGTGAGGATAATACCTCCAGTTTACGTAGTCGAGCCTATCCACAAAATAATCAAACCAACCAATCCCATCATAATCATTACAACACAAGCCAACACAAACAGCGTGCATATCAACAACAACAACATCCCCTGTATCATATGCCCGGCAGTGGTGCCGGTCTCAGCGACACACCGACTTCCGGTAACGCATCTGACGAAACTCTTACTGATAGTGACCTTATCACTGTTGCTCGTGATTCTGCGCTGCTCGTCCATAACGGTAAGTCCATTTATTTATATATATATTTATTCGCAATATTTCATATTGTAATAAGTATGGTAACAATAAATATTATTAATCCAATAAAAAAAAATGTATCTGTAACCAGCATTTTCTAATAAGAAATAAAGAATTATCCAAATGCTAATATAATTTACATGTCGCGATTTAGAGACCGGAGCTGATTGTCGTATGAAGTTGATTAACAAAATACTTATAATTCCATCAGTACATGGCAGAAAAATTTCATTTTTTTACTATATAGATTGTTGATAAATATTAATTTATTGTGTAACATGGTTTGCATCAAAAGCATTGTATATATTATTTACAACGACTTTTTAAGAAAATAAAGTTGGTGAGTAAATTTTTCTTATTATCTGTTTTATTGTTTAATTTTTAGATTTTTGACATTATTAATCGCGATATCCCTGTATTCATAGAAAATGACGTGTCTTAGAAAATTTTTGTTACACTAATTTAATCATTATACTGACAAAGTTTGTGAATACAATCTCTTTTATTAAAAATAGCTGTGTGGAATTATCCAAAATAAGTCGGAATTAGATAACAATCAATTTTAATCTTTAGATCGATATATTTAAAAAAATATATATTTATAAATAAATTATATCTCATATCGATATGTATGTTTCTTTATGTATTTTTCATAGAAACTGCAGTATGAAAACAATTATAAATTACGTACTTTATGATTAAAGTAATTATTTTAATTGTAATTAATACTATATAATT